AACTAAATTTTTAAAAAAATTGACGGGTTAACCAGAATTAATTGGGTTAATCCGTCAAACCAAGTTAACATATCAAACCTGAAATCCGTATCATAAAAGTTTGATAACTAAATAGAAAAAAATTAAACATTAACAAACTAAATTAAATAAAAAAATTTAATTAAAAAACAAAAATAAAAAGAATTAGTCTTTTCACTGTGAATTGTACAATGCAGTCCACAGTAAAGGTATAAAAACAACAAAAAATAGTAATAAAGGTATCAGTTGATAACTAAATAAAAAAAATTAAATAGAAAATATTAATTAAATAAAAAAATTATAAGAAGAAAAAAACTAATGAAAAAAAAATCTAAATTAACTAGCATAACTTGTCAAACGTAAAATTCATATCATAAAAGTCTGATAACTAAATAAAAATAATAATATCAATAAGCTAAATAAAAAAATTAATTAAAAAAAAAAGATATCAGCTTTTTCACTGTGGACTATACTATGCAGTTCACAGTGAAAAGCATAAAACAAAAAAAAATAAAAACATTATCATTTTCACTGTGTATTGCATACAATATTAAAAGATGAAATTGAAAGAAAAAACTAATGGTAAAAAAAAAATTGAATCAACTGGGTTAACCCGTCAAAACTAGGATTTACGTTATAAAAATGTGATAACTAAATAAAAAAATTAATTAAAAAAATAAAGAGAAAAAAATCTACAGGAAGAAAAAAACTAATAACGAAAAAGCAAAAAAATCTGAATCAATTGGGTTAACCTGTCAAAACAGGTTAACATGTCAAACATGTGATCCATATAATGAAAGTCTAATAATTAAATAGAAAAAATTTAATATTAAGAAACTATATAAAAAAAAACTAAAAACATTAGTTTTTTCAATATGGATTGCACAGTGCAATCCACAATAAAAGACTTCAAAAAAAAAAGGCATATGTCATGTGTTATTCTTTTTTCTTGCATAAAAAATATAAAAAAAAATATTAAGATCTAAGAGTAATAGGTCTTTCTGCAAAGATATACCCAAAAACCTTGAATTTAGCTGCAACGCTTAACCCAAAAGTAATATTTATAACATTAATAATAATATTAAACTTACATGGCTCAAGTTTAAGGAGTCTGGCTGCAACACCGGACCCAAGAGAATTGAATGCGGGTCTGACTGTAAGGTCGTATTATAAAAGTGTGATAATTAAATAGATTAATTTTAAAAAAATCAATAGGAAGAAAAAAAAAACTAATGAATAAAAAAATATATGAATTAATTGGATTAACCTTTCAAATCAGGTTAACCCGTCAAATAAGGAATTTACATCATGAAAGTTTGATAATTAAATAGAAAAAAATTGACAGGTTAACCCATCAAGCCCGGGATACGTGTCATGAAAGTATGATAATTAAATATAAATAAATTTAACATTAATAAACTAAACTAAATGAAAAAAATTAATTAAAAAAATTTCAGGTTAACTTGTCAAATCACATTAACCCGTTAAACCTGGAATCTGTATTATAAAAGTCTAATAATTAAATAAATAAAAAAATAATATTAATAAACTAAATTAAACAAAAAAAATTTATTAAAAGAAAAAAAACATAAAGAAAAAGGAAAAAAAAACCATGAAAGCATAAAAAACTAGAAAAAAAAAAAGAAATTAAAAAAAAAAACTCATGCATTTTAGAACATAATACATGTTATCGTAATTATAATATAACAATAGAAAAAAATCTAAAAAATCAAGGGAAGTTACATTGTTTTTTCCGTACTTTTTAAAGTATTGACAAATTTATTATCTATTTTTTGTTAGTTATTATATTATATTAAAATTTATTATATAAATATTAAATAAATTTTTTATTTTTTAATGTGATATAAAAAAATTATATATAATTTAATTTTTCAAAAATAAATTGTATTTTTTGAATGTAGAATAAAAATACTTTGAAATAGTTAGAAAGATGGGACAGAAAGTAAAAGCTAACGAAAACCACTATGATCATCACCTGATTTTCAATAGCTTCTTCAACGGGGATTCTGTCACCGTCCTCTCCCGGAAGTGCCTTCATCTGAGAAAAAAATCATAACAAAAAAATAAAAAAAAATATCATGCAAGGAAATCTATAATGTTTCATGAGAAAATCTATAATTATAATTTTTAATTAGCTTAATATTAAAAATAATAAAATCGATAGCGATAATTTTTTTAAAAAATCATAACAAAAAAAATCATGTGGAGAAATACAATAACAATTCATAGTGTTTTAAAGAAAAAACTACGAAATTAAATTTTCAACTAGCTTGATATGAAAAAAATAAAATTGATAAAGATAATTTTAAAAAAATTATAAAAATAAAAAACAATGTAGCAATTTATAATGTTTTTAAAAAATAAAATCAACAAAAATAATTTTGAAAAAACACAAAAAATTATAAAAATATATGAAAAAATTTAAAGCTGAATTCTCAACCAGCTCAATATTAAAAAAATATTTAATAAAGATAATTTTTAAAAAAAATATATATGAAAAAACACTATAGCAAAACAAAAATTATGTAGATAAACATTATAACAATCCATATTATTTTAAATAAAAACTACAAAGTAAAATTGATAAAGATAAAAAAAATTAATAAAAAAGACACACAGAGAAATATTATAGTAATCTATAATGTTTAAAAAAAAATTATAAAACTAATTTTTAATTAGTTCAATAATAAAAAAAATTGATAATTTTTTTAAAAAATAAACACATAAATAAAAAAAATAATCTTGAAAAAAAAACATGTAAAGCCAAAAAAAAAAAAGAATGCAGAAAAAAGGAAAAAAATACAAAACATATATATATGGTACGGAGAAAGCTATAGTATTTCCCTTCTAATGTTAGAATATTAGTTAATTGATAGATGAAACATGTGATGATAGCAAAACATGATGATCGGTGATGAGGTGGTGGATAACAATGACTTTTAGACAATGATGACTATTATACAATTTTAAATTTATAGATTAAAATAAAATATTTTATTTTTACTAATTTTTGCAAATGCTTGGTGCTTGATTGGTATTATATTTTTAAAGTGAATTTGTATTGAAAAAATATTAAATTAATATTTTTTTTTTAGTTTTTTTTAATGATTTCAAAGTGTTGATGTTAAAAAAATAAAATTTATTTATTAAATAAAAAACACTTTTAAAAAATAATATGTGTCATAATAATACCATAAAAAAATAAAAAAATATAAAGCTTATATAAAAGGATGTTATTAACTAAAAATAAATTATACACCTTGTTGGCTTCTATTTGTCTCAATTTGTGCATACATCAACCATTGGCAAAGATCATACTCAAAACTCGAAAGCTTCGGATAACACCTGGAAATAGAACTAGGCTATGCTTTCATTTAATCTTTTTTTCTTTCTTCCGTTTAATCTTTTTTTTTTTTTTTAAAAAAGGTCAAATTGTAAGATGACCTGTCGCTGTTGAATTAACTTAAAAATCCAACGCCCAAGATTCTGCTCTGCAAAAACTAATGGCTTAGGTCTAGCCACATCAACGAAGACGTTATAATTGTAAACACAGGGAGCCTCAAATCAGTCAGCCAAGTATTACTTAAGTCTCAATTGAGCTCCATAAACAAATATTATTATCAATTAGGTCCCAAATGCTTTAGATATTTCTCAATTTGATCTTTATGTTAACTTCCATAAGTTTTTCCATTAATTATTAACAAGAGCAAGATCATGGGTTCAAGTAGGTTAAACTACTTTTTTTAAGAAATCAAAATATGTTATTTTGGTTTTTTTTTTAAAAAATCAGTAATGTTTTTACTAAATTAATAAATTTGTAAGTCAATCGAAGTTTTTAATTCAAATATATCAAGTAAACTTCTTTTTTATTTATAATAAAACTCGAATTAAATTATATCTTGAGTTGATTAGAATCCGAGTTACCCTTCAAAGCTTGTCATGGTTTAATAAGCTGTCATAAAATATGCAAACATGATGGAAAATACTAATAGATATACTTGAATCGAATGAGCTCATTTGATAAAATCTTTATTGTAGGACTTAATTGGCAATAAGTGTACACATTAAGGACTAAACAAGAGGTTTCTCCATACAAATACAGCACGCTGTACCTTTCTACTTCTCATAAAGAGAGCTGCGAAAACCTCAAGCCAAAAACCCTAGCCTCCTGCTTTACCTTCATCCGAGGCAGAGACTCCATCCTTGATTGAAAAACCCTAAATCCAAACATGGTACTTAGTCCCTCTCTCTCATTGTTCACGAAAGAATTCGTTTTGATTAGTAGAAAATATCTCATCTTGTTAAGTTTTGTTTGATTTTGCAGACAGTAGAAACAGTGAATCCAAAAGCATACCCGCTTGCAGATGCCCAGTTGACCATAACAATACTTGACCTTGTTCAGCAAGCTGCTAATTACAAGCAACTCAAGAAAGGAGCCAATGAAGGTTAGCTTTGTCAAAACTAGTAGTTATTTGTATGGTTTTTTGCTAATATAAAATCCGGGGTTTTGATAAAGTCTTGATTTTTCAGCTACAAAGACACTTAACAGAGGTATCTCTGAGTTTGTTGTGATGGCTGCTGATACTGAACCACTTGAGATTCTTCTCCATCTTCCTTTGCTTGCTGAAGACAAGGTTATTTATTTGCTTACTAATACTTTTTGTTGAAGGGTTTTGGTTGTTTCGTTCTTATGTTTGAGTTTTTGTTGTTTTGGATGCAATTTCTGCTGTCTTGTAAATTGGTTTGTTGTGTTTGGAATAGTATTAGAAGAATGTGACTTTAGGGTTTTATGCCATTAAGCTTATTTAATTGGTTTTCTTCTTTTTTTCCCTGGTTATTACTATACATCTTGCTTTGTGACTAATTTAGTTTTGGACGGCTTTTCTTGGTTATGTATTACATTTTCACGCATATGCTTGTCTTTAGTTATAACGACCTCAATTGTATAATCTGAATAAATGTGACTAAAGATGAATAAATTTCAATGGATTAGATTATGCTTTTGTGACCTTTTTCTAGGCCAAGCTATTTGCTTTTGAAAATTTATGAAGACTTGGTTCTCCCATTCTACTGCAGACATGCAATGCTACCTCTTATTCATTCTGGAAGTGGTGAGTCTCTGTGGGATGATTGACAAATTTAGGTCACGTATATCTAGAGTTTGTCACAACCTTTGGTAACAAAGGGTAGACCTAGGACACTGGCGAGGGAACATAAACCCCCTTATACCCCCCTGCAGAAAGGCAAGACCATCATGAGGAGTAGCATCTTGAGTTTTAAGTATAATTGGAAGTAAAGTGAGGAGTAGCACACAACTTAAGTTCTTTGTGAACCCAAGTTCCAAGCTACTTGTAATCCTTCTTAAATACCCCACAATTTTCCCTGAAAGAAGTGCACGCACACAACTTAATTCTTTGTCATATGATTGATGGAGAAGCTGACTTCACAGAACTTGGTCCATTGACTTGTGACAGGAGAGGTTGGATTCAACTAGTTTTTCTTTTTCAATCTTGAAGGAATAATTGAGAATGTTCCCTGGACCACTCTTTATGCCGAGGACATGAGATTGAATCCAGGAGAAGCAAATTTAAATACAGAGCAAGGATGATTTATTATGTTTTGTGCTTGTGCTCGTGCTCCTCTTTTCTTTAATGACTCTCTGAAGGCACAGATCAGTATCATTTTTTTTTTTTATTGAATTGGCAGAATGTCCCCTATGTATTTGTCTCTTCAAAGCAAGCACTTGGCCGAGCATGTGGTGTCACAAGACCTGTCATTGCTTGTTCAGTGACAACAAATGAGGGGAGTCAATTGAAAACACAAATTCAACAACTCAAGGTATTTGCTTTCTGTCATGCCTGTGGAATTCATGTGGTGTTAAGCTTTGTTAATTTCAGCTCATTATTCTTTTTTGCCCCTTTTGAAATTCAGGATGCCATTGAAAAACTTCTGATCTGATTTGTATGGATGCAATTTCGGCGTGATGGGCCTCTTGGATCATTGGTGGTTGCTCCTTTGGAGGCTTTGACTGATGAAGTTGTACCCTACCGCCAGCATGCTTTTTGTTTCTTACCTTGTTTAAGATTTTGTCTGTCTTTTTTTCACTCAATAACTGCAAAAACTTGAGATGAGTCATATAAAGTTCAGTAATCTAT